CAGGTTCACAGAAGTCTATTGAACATTGTAGGGCTTAGCTCGCCACTTCATTGCTGTTTTTCCCCTCACTTCCCCTTATTGGTGTCGAGTGATTTGATATATTTTTACTGCTGATATCTTGTATGTGTATTTTCATCAAGACTCAACAGTGTTCTTACATGTATATTGTTTTTTTTTTAAACCCAAAACTGATGACATCGTTAGGTTTTTATATTGGAAACTTCTTTATAAAGTTCTGTTGGTAGGCTTGAACTGGTGGCCTTATTGTTTGTTAGCAACCTCGTGCTTAATTAACCCACTACACAATCAGGACTCCTTACTTCAGACAGTTGTTCTTGTTAAAGTGCTGTCTAGTCGGTTCCAACTTATAATTACTATGTACAGGGTTTCTGAGGAGCAGCTGGTGAGTTTGCCCCATCAACCTTGCAGTTCAAACCAACCTTGCAGTCTAGTGCTTATCCTACAGCTCCACAGAGGACATAAAAATCTGCTTTTTACTACATTAAATACTTGAAATGTTTTTGGTGATGAATTTGACAGAGGTATGTGTAAACAAAAATAACCATTCTTTGTGATGATTTAAAAAGTACATAAGCTGTATTTTAAAAAAATGATCTTACTTTTGTTTAATGAATGCAAATGTCATAATGTTTATAAAAGGTTTAAAAAAAGAGGAAGTAAATTATTAGCATTTTAGAATGAAGAGTCATTTTCTGACTTCTATGTTCAGCCAAGATAGAATAACAATGGTTGGATTACTCTCCTGTCTGAAACAACCAAACGAACAGAAAAAAAAGCAGATAGAATATATGAAACAATAGTTTTCAGAGTTGAGTATATAGTAATAAGAACAGTGTTTTGTAAAAAAACAAGGAACAAAGATTGCCCCAGTGAGAGTTCTTATAGGCGATTGTGTGGGGAGGGGAAATCTATCAGAGCCTGGCAGGATTCCTGAGTTTGCAATAGGCATAGATCTGAAGAGAGAAGATTGGGTAGTGTTTGCAGGAAAGATTACTGGAGAGGAGAAAGTTGTACAAAGATCTCAGAGGTCTGCAGAGGGCTTCCCTGGGTACTCAGCAGAGTAACGAGAACATGTGTGTGAGAACATGACCTGGGGTGGAGAAAGAATCATCAAATTATCAGGAAGGACTGGCAGAAAACTTCATAAACACTGTAGAGGAGAGCACTCAGAAGGGCTGTTTAAGGACAAGGAGGCGGCTAGGGGCAGGGTGGGTGGTGTTGGGGGAGGATAGGGGATGGGAGGAAGCTGTACTGAAGAAAACAAGTGGTAGGAGCTGGGAGGAAGAAAAGTACAGAAGACATCCAAACAATACATCTCATGGAAATTAGGTCAGAATGTTACTTCATACAGCGCTTTATTTGGAGTTTCAGTTGTCTTTTGGATTTTTATTTATTGAAAAAGCCCTAGTGTGGTGCTATAGGATAAGCACTGGACTACTAACCACCAGGTTGGTGGTTCAGAGCCACCAGCCACTCCTCAGAAATGCTTTACAGAGTCACTATGAGTTGGAACTGACTTGATGACACTTAACAACAACACCAGCAACAATATTTTTAATTAAAATATTTAATTTTCATTTGATATTGCTCATATAATCCAGTTCAAAAAATTTTAAATTATCCTTCTATTTGGGTATAATACATCATATATGTATGGTGTGAGGTGGTGGTGTATGCCATGGAGTTGGTTCTGACTCAGCGACCCTGCCCAGGGTTTCTGGGGCTGTAAATCTTCACAGGAGCCACCTCATCTTTCCCCTGTGGAATGGCTGGTTGTTTTGAACTGCTGACCTTGAGATTAGCAGACCGACTCATAACCAATATGCTACCAGAGCTCATTAATGCATATATATATATATAAAGTTTGTGTGCTGTGATGTGTTGTATGTGTACAAACTAATACATATGGAATGGGTTTTCACAAGCTTTTCACAAGCTTAAAACAGCTTTATGCTCACAACTAAAATAA